GTGAAGGCCATTTTTTTCCCAAGTCGCGTACGTATCCCATACGCGTACCATTACTAATGGTCCCATAGCATCACAGTAATGGATACGTACATTCATTAGGCGGCACCTTTACATTTCATTGCCCCTTTATAAGAAAGGTTTGTCAACAGGTTTTGTATATTCTCTTTAAGCGATTCCAATTTGCCCTTGTTGTTTGAGCTTCGGTCTCCTGGGTGCATGTAACAACCGCCAAGACCCCGCGAGTGGGCGTCAGTGCGCTGTGATTGCAGGGACAGACCCTTAATAAGCTATCTCACGGCGGTACACCGTTCAGCATGCCAGAGGCTAATTATGGAGAAAACGAGTTTGTCCAAATTGAGGCTGATTGCTTGATGTATTTTCCCCTGCATAATCATCGATATGCGAATCGCACTAAATATAGATTGGCTTTATGGCGTGCGTTGTAATGGAGCAAAAGATTGGGCCTACATTTTTGTTTGTTGTCAGTGAGTCAAATTCTGGTGAATTCATGTGCAGAAACAATGCATAGAAAGTAATCATTTTCATATTTTTTCTTCAAACTTTATATCAGAGGAGGCAACACAACAAATCTGACATGTTTTTTTGTGTAATAATTAAATGTGACCAAGTTACTCAGGATATATCTTTGACATTGGCAAATACACCTGCTTCAATTCGTTTAATAGTGTGGTTACGACTGCTCATATTCCGATCCCTAACCCTTACCCTAAGCCTAACCCTAACCCTAACCTAACCCTACTCAAGGATTTTGGGGAACATAGGTTTTGGGGAACATCGGGTAGACCCCCCCCCCAACCCTAACCCTTACCCTAACTGGGAGTAACACAATCGTATGTACGGGTTGTTGGAACCGTAGTGGTGTCCTCATGTTCCTCATGCCAAAGCAAGTTTGCGAGAAAAAAAAATAGGCAAGCCTAGTGTAGCTTATCCGAGATTGCATTAATTTCTGTTCAGTTGATTCAGAATGGCTATTCACTGGAAGCCTTTACACGAGTGCACCAGATTAAACACCTTCATTGGAGTTACGGGGTAATCATATACGATGGCACTGCCCGGTACACAAGTGACAGGAGGCAGTGTGATACAAAAAAGACCATAAGCTGGCCCTCTGGGACCAGCACAACTATTTTGGTTGCCAACTCTTGTTTCATGGGCTTTTATTTGTTAATTTAAGTTACCATCTCCACACTTAAAGTACATCTTGCTTTGTGTGTCATACCTTTAGGTCAACTGTATAAGATATACACGTATTTTACCAATTTCGCAATCTTTCGGAAATAGAGTGAGCTTCTTATGCCGCTTTCGCGAAAACTCTTAGTACAATAAACAGTTACACTCTTATTTCTGAATGTGCACACCGTTCGCACGCGCACGGTTTGTTTTTCTAGCTTGCCACGAGGTCGAGACAAAATGCATTCCTAGTTGATGCTTTAAATGTTTATCGCGCTGCGTGTTCCCTTTTTAGCGTGAAAGCACGCTTTAATCAAGTGAATTCCAACCGTCAGAGAGACTAAGCTCCCACTTTCCGATCTTAGAATCAAGACCTAAAAAAAACAACCTCCTCCAGTCGCGTTTTTAAATTCCCCCCCGCGCTACTTCCCAACCGTCCCGCTAATTTACCCCATTTTTGTAACATGGCGTATCGCGCTGTGCAAATTTGGCTGCCAGCTCTCCTGGTAATTGCGCGCATTTTCCCAGCTCCCCCCCCCCCCAAAAAAAATCATACTTCGTGTGTTGATTTGATTGCAAGCGAATTTGCCATGCCCCCGAGACATCATATAGATTTTTTTCTCCAGCTCTCAACGTCTCTTTCTCCAGCGGCGATCGCTGTGGCAAGTTCTTGAGTAACCGCATGTGGCAAGGAGATTTTTTTTTGCAAGCACTAGCGTGTGATACTAACCCCGGTTAGGACGACAGGCGGGTATGGAGATGCTCAAAATGGGAACATACGGCACTACACCACGTGCTGGCCGAACTACATGGGTCGCACTTATCTCCCCAAGATAGGTAATTTGTCTCCTGGTATCCTTAATTGAAAAGCAATAATGTCGTCTCCCTTCGACGCAGTACAGGTTTATTGGACCCTGGCCAAGATTTAAAGGTACGTTTGTGGACGCCTCTTTGCGATCTGCACGAGTTCATCACGCAGTGCACACTCATCAGGCGGCCATTTTGGAATTAGATAACTCTTTACACACAATGCGCTTTCATCGAAATGGCCTATTCACTGCTGATGTCACAGGTTAATTCGTTAATCTCTATTCCATTCAGTTGGATTGAAGAGAATGCTTTGTTGACGTAATAACTTAGCACCATTATACATGCACAAAACTACCTTGCTATTGTCTTGTATGTCCAGCATGGGGCTCTTGTGGCCAAAATCTGTTCTTGACCGAAGTCGTTCTGGCATCAAACGCCGCAAGATGCCTCATTTCCTCGTCGTAATGACTCTAGTGGTCGTCAGAGGAATCACTATACGTGATCTCTCCTTTTAAGATAATTGCACTGACCTCTCTGTATAATAGACCCTTATGATGCTGCCAGTCATGTTCCCTGTATCCAATAACTATACCGATGATAATGCTTTTCTGTGCAAAAAGGAACCAGATTATTTTCCTTCCAGCCTCGCTTTGGTTACGTTGATTTGAATGGGAAAAACATCATGATGGCCACAACATGATAATGGTCTATAGCATTGCACAAACCAATTTGATCATAATTAAGCTGACGTCCGTACAACCACTATGTGACACCTTTTTATAACCAAAATGTACGTGTGTATCAAAGCACGGGGTGTCGGTAATCGTATGCACAACTTGGCTACTGAATTGTAGTGTATTGTGACATTTTCAAAGGGGTAACTGATGTGATTAGGTAGCAATGACATTGATCCGACACACGGGGATGAGTGGTTGTTAGCCACCCCAACCGGAGAGTTTATACCCTGCACGATTCGTGGCAGAGGGGCACCCCCCAGTGTCCATTTACCCTATGGACACTCTATCTAGACTATGGTTACCTAACACATTCCCCCTAGATATTCCGGAAACACAATGACTAACACAAAACAGGGAGGGGGCTCCCTCTGTCAAAATATCTTGCTTCATTATGCAGAATTAAATGTGCTCTTCGTGTCCGTATAATAATGCAGAGTTGAAGGTTTTGCGCAGAAGTTGCCAGTCAAAGGCGTCACTTCATTGGATTCTATTCTTTTATGTGCTGGGCTGAAGGCCGGATTAAGTGTTCCGTAGTCCGTACTTCCGCCCTATGCACCAGCACCTACGGTATTCCAGCTCTGGTAAACGCTGGAGCCTTGCATTTCATGTTGATGTTAAGCTGTACGAAGCAAGCCAGGCCAAACTGGTAGCTCTGAAAGCACCGTGTCTTTACGTGTAAAGACAAACTTTACACGTAATTCCACGTTATGCTGCCACTTTTGTGGTTTTTGGGGAACAGTGTTGAGTTCCTAGAGATTGTTTTAACTTAATGATGAACAGAGTACATGCACCAATCGTAAATTCAACCATGCGAACATTTTAATCATTTTTTTTCCTTTCCAAAATTTATTCAATCCGGTAGCTTCCGGAAATCCCCACATAATTCCCCATAAATTAATTACTCTCTAGAATTTGCCGCACGAGACGGATCCTGTCGTGCATACTCGATCGGAAATTTTCCTTTTTTAATAAATCTAGTAAACCACGAGGAAATAATTAACGACAACCATGTTTTATTCATATCGATATACTCAAACATGCTGGTAGGATTTTCAGCCGGCGCTTGTGGAGCTGCTTAATGATTAAAGGACGAGTATTTCGTGTTGTTCACTTGGCGTGACTAATCACCCGGACCTCGCGCGGGACGAACTGCTCGAGCTGATATTAAAATTCATGTTGCCACACCGAAAAAAAGAAACATTACGCACATCGTGTCTCTAGCGATGGTATACTGTAAGTAGAATCACTAAGTTTGGGTGTCCATTCGTTCAGGAAGCAATAACAATTGCGGTAAGTGTTTTTTTTTTATCACAGAAAAAAAGCCCGATTTTTTGGTACAAAACTTTAATGTTTTGTTAACGTGACGAGTCAGTGACCCTGCTATTAAAGCTATCACATGATCATGTGACGGTTGGTAAGTTGGTACCCATCGAAGGTACTCGCCGATTTATATATCCTTTCCTGGTACTCCGCAAGAACTCACGTCTAGTCAGTTATGTCAATTGTGTCCCTTAATTGTTTTTGCATATATTTATGAGCAGGTGTTTTTCATCATGCGTCACACTAAATAACTTCTCCCTACGGCCCTATACGCCATCTGGTAATCCAAATTATGTCCCTTTTCATGTAGCGCGAAACGTCTTTTTGGCTTGCAGGCATACCCATTACGGTATTTCACACAACTAGCAATTAATACAAAAGACTTGCATTTATAATAAATGTGCCCAATGTGTCTATAGATCTGAGAACGCACTGAATTTCGTGAATGTGATTTTCCTCGAATCTTTTACATTAGTTAGCCAAGAGAAGGTGTCCCAATTTCATAATATGCCAAAATGGACAAAGAAATGAAAACAAAAATCAAAACAAAAACACATGGCATACAATTAATTCTCCTAAGGATTATATCTCTAGAGGCTGAGAAAACACTGCGATTTTTCCTCAGCACACACATTGATACTTTTGTTACACGGAGAATTTAGCATCACAATGCTAATTAACCCACTCTGACCGAGTTTTTCATTTCCATGTAAACTAATTATTTTCTGTTGAAGCTCTTGAAATTTATGGCCCCAAACCGTCCATATGGCGTGCCAGCATCAGCATTCCAACAAAGCGAAGCGAGGAATATTTGTAATTATACGGCGTGTCGGCTCCGCCGAATAGAAATCCCCGCTCCCAAGTGAACCGAGTTTTTATCATAAAAAGTGAACAATGCGACGAGGTTGGAGCATTAAGACTCATGTTCCGCGGTTTAGCGCGCGTGTCGTTTCTTTTGTTCCGTCTGTTCTACCGCTCTTCCCGCCCACACTTTAACCGCCGCGGTTATTATCCCCGACGGGTGCGTGAAGCCACGACTTCAGCCACTATCACCATCACGGATGACTGATGCGCCTTATCACTACGCTGCAAAACGGTCATGCACCCGCGTCCCATGTGTGTATCTCCGCACATTGTACAACGGCAGACCTACAGACACGCACACGCTCGTGAAGCGGCTTAAAGGTATCGCCCAGATTCTTTGTATCTCATTTCGATTGTAAGCATCCGGAGCTTCTGGTGTAGAAAGCTCAGACGGCGATGCGGAAATGAAAAGTCGAAGTTGCTGTGTGAGAGAACAGGTGTACAGATTAACCTGTGCTCACTGCGATAGAAGATTGCACGACCGGTGGACCGACCGTGAAACAAGGGTGGCTCGTGGTTGTGAACTGATATACCACACAGCGAAGGATACTGAGAGATAGACTCGAGGGAAAACTGTGGTGGACTTAGAATACCGAGACCATGGATATTGCGCAGGAGTTGACGAACCTAACAGGGGAAGGTTGCGACGTACGGGAAGACTCCCTAGGGCTAACGATAGCCGTCTCCTTGCTGTATGGTGTCGTGTTTGTCCTGGCGCTCATTGGTAACATCATGGTCATCACGATAGTCTATGTCCGCCCTAAGCTACGCAGCGCTTCCAATGTCAATCTGATCAACCTGGCCTTTGCCGATTTGTGCTGCTGCGTCGGACTTCCTTTCTCCCTGGTAAGCGAGATCAAATCTACCTGGATATTCGGCGATGTAGTCTGTGTTCTGGTCGCCTTCCTGACTCTATGGGCCTGCACGGCTATAGTCATGATCCTGCTAAATATATCCATCTACAGATACTTTGTGATATCTCGTGCGAGAAGTGAGATTGTCAAGGTTCTACGAAAACGTACAGTTCGTATCAACGTCTTGGTATGGTCGTTGTCAGCTGTTTTCAGCGCCCCACCAATCATCGGCTGGGGTAGATACCGTGCCTGTGTGGGTTTACCCAGTTGCTTCCTGGATCTACCGAGCAGCAGATCCTACATCATCTTCTTCATCCTGTTCACCACCCTCATACCGTCCGTTCTCATGATCTTCTGCTACGCTCGGATCTGCGCCACCGTTCGGAATAGCTCCAAGCGAGTCAAGAACACGGCCCAGGCCCTGTTCCGTGCCTCTACCATCCTGACGGAGAGCGTTGTGTCCGAGTCCGGAGACACCAGGAGGAGTCGGTGCTCCCTAAGGGACGTGGAGTTCCTACCGCTCCCGGTCAGATCCCACCGTGGCTCAGACTCCGGTATCATACAGGCCTCCCGCTCAGAGAAGCGGCTCTCTATAGTCTCCTACACCTCCGTCATCGCCAACATGAGACCTGAGGAGCTCCGTCTAGGTAAGTCTCTATTCCTGGTCTTCGTGGCGTATCTTCTATTCTGGTCACCGGTCGTCATCATCATGTTCATAGCGGCTTTCCTTAACCCTACTCCGGTCCACGGTCTATGGGTGGCTATGCAGCTCTGCATGTACATCCACGCGGCCGTCAATCCGTTTGTGTACGGATTACTAACAGACCCGTTCCGCTGTGTCATCAACACCGCCATGTCGTGGGGGAACAAGACCCGAGCAGGGATCAGGGACAACGGTCTGAAACGGCCCTCCATCGCCACCATGGATCGGTTGAACGTAGAGAGTGACACCTACATGGACAGGAGTAACAGTGACAGTAAGAACTGTGAGCGCATCAACCTCAAGAGATTATCCATTCCGGAGAGTTGTCATCCAGCTCGTCTGTCGCTTTCAGCCTCATCGTTTTAGCGTCTTTTTCTCCAATATTATGTGAACTATTTAAATAATGTTGCTAAAGCCGTGTCCGAAACGGGCGTCGAGAGCTACGGCTATGTCTGTTGTCAGTATGTCGTTTTAACTGACGAAGACCTCTTAAGTTATAAAAGGCGATAGCCCTAGCCACGAGATTCAGACACAGCCTGAGCTTCTTACCCACGTCTTCTCAATCAGATGCCAGTTTTGAATGTGATTTAATGTCGCCTTCCAATCTTGAGTGCAATCAGAGTTTCTCCTTAAGATTGTATATCAACCTTCACGTTTTACATCTTATACCTCATGTGGCTGTGCACTGTACTATAGGTTATCATTCCTGTGTCTTCTGTGAAGAATTTCTATATACTGCCCGAAATGTCGAGAAGACAATTATCTACTGGTTCTTCGGGAACAACAGAGGAGATTAACCTATCAGTAATGTCAAACCTATGCCATTCAGCTTTGCTTAATTCCTATAAGTCTATAACAACAAACAACAAGAGTTACAGTTAGAAAACTTTTTTTTAAAAATTAAATCGTGGTTTATCATGCACATGTAACGAAACAAGGACTACAACATGGTGACCAATAACCATTTTCGGAGACGACAAATCTTGAATGGCAATGTAGAACCTGAAATGTGACATGCATAATCTTGAAAAAATATTTTGAAACTTACAGTAGAAAAATGATGGATCAAATGCACCTTTCTGGTAAAATTGTTTAAGACCAGAAAAAAAATGTGCCATTGGAAACTTACAGTAGAAAAAACCTCGAAAAATCAAAGTGTATCTTCTGCAAAAATGGTTAAGCCCTAAATCACGACATTATTTTTAACAAAACATGTATGCCGATGGAGCCAGTTTTAATGGCAAATTCATCTTTAAAAATATCTCGACTTATTTTTGATACATCGCATGCACGTCATCTTATTACCCGACACGCGACATGTAAACACATTACTGTCATAGCATGATGAGTTGCTTACACATTTCCAATGTTACATTTTGAGATGTTGATTTCGTGCCTGTATAAGTCGTATATGTATTTTACCATGTCAGGCACAATAATATTGTCGTATCGTGTGGCGTGTCTGTTCGAATAATGACCGGGGCACGAGACCAAATGCTTTGTCGATCGAATGTAAAACCCATTACTTTTCATCCTCGACTTACTCATAATGCTTGGTGTGTATTTATACTGGCAGATATGTGTCCTCTCTCTGACAGCTTGGTCAATAACTTTGTCATTAAGTTGTTAAGCAGAGGAATGCACTTTAAATCGGTTTGGCTGAAACGGAACCAATCTGGTAAACAGTAATGCTTTCATCTGTTGATCTTGCTGAAGAGGACCTTTTTATCATAAACCATCTTAATGAGAAAAACACGAGACACTTCGCACGCGTAATAATGCACCAAGAAATTACATTTATTTTGACTCTCCGAAAAAAAATATTTGCATAGTTGTAAAGATAATTGATGTTGTTTGGCCCTTTGTTTTCTCCCATTAGAAATATTTAGAACGAATGTTGAATCTCCCAAGTCTCGCAAATCATCTTTACAGTTAGAGTCGTCCTTTTTGTGGAAAAGAGGATAATTATCACTTACTTAATTCCATTTCTCGTAATAAAAGCAGAGTTCGTCAAACATGGCAAAACATTCGCTTACTTTGAAAGTAGCTTGTTGCAATTTACCACCTTTCTAACTTATGTACATTCCAATGTATAAATTAAAAACAAAAACATTATGAAAAAAAATCATATGTAAGCTCGAGGAAAAAAAGGATATAAATATTACGAATCATAATTAGAATTCAGTTCAACCAAAGCTGTCATCAAGATATCCTTGATTGTATTTTATTCCACGAAGTGCCTGTACAGAAAGTGCATCTTCAAACTAGTATATTTCTTTGTATGAGTACACCGGGGGAAAAAACAGATAAGGAAGTTTTATCGACACAATGGTGAAATTGGGCCCATACCTCTTATGCATTCATTGTTAATGAATAATAACGTAACAAAATTACATATCCAAGATGGCCGCTGAAAGCAATCTGTCTATAGTTAAACTGCTTGATTTGCATTCAGTTAGTGATGTTTCACCCTTAATGGGTTGTAAAAATTGAAACCCTAAGCATTAATGGCTTTAATCTAATTTTCGACCACTGACTTCCCTCCTTGAGTCACATTGAACTCTATATTTATAGAATACCGAGTTTTACTTTGGTGAATTGTAATTATCTTTATATTGTAATGGTGTTCAAATCCAGAATTTGCAAAGATAGACAATGAAGGAACATTGAAGTTTGTGGAATAGTTATGTATGACATTTTCAAGGAGTTAAGTATAATACCATTACGGTGCACACTCCAGACAGCAAAGCCACACCGCAATTCGAAGTGTAGGACGGTATGGTTAAATGCTAAGACTGTTAAAAATCTGAATGTGACGGGAGGTGTGAGTGACCATTTTTTCCACGGTGCGAGATCGCTATAAACCAATCCAGGGACGATAGCATAGTACGCTCACGAAAGCCCCCTTGAATGGCGAAAGCTTATTGCTAGCTATTGTACAGATTATGAATCCGTCATGGGGCAGTTAGCACAATATAGCTTGCACATTGCTTTCACCATTGGAGGGGGCCTCGTGGGTAGTGAGAGTGTGCTGGGATTGGTGTGTAGTACGAATCCGGACACGTGATCACCGCACACACACGGGGCCCCCTTCAATGGCGAAAGCACTGTGTAAGCTAGTGTGCAAAGCTACTGCCTTCGCCATTGAAGGGGGCTTTCGTATTCGGTGAACAAAAGGCTGACAGAGATCAGAGCAAAAGACTTATTAGCGTGAATTATCCATGCACTTCTGTGATGCTGAGTGATATTCAATGCCGTGCGGTGGGTGAGGACTGTCAGGGAAGGTTTAACATGAGGAAGTGAGAGTGAAAATAAAGGAAGATCGATTCTTCGGAGAGAGCAGTGATGCGCGATACGAGAAGGAGGGACGCAATGAAGATGGATGGAGGAAAGGGGAATAAGGTTCGCTGATAGAGGGAAGGCTTTAAGACATGAAGATGGAGAGAAGGAATGAAGAAATGTGAGAGGGAAAAGCAAAGGAGAACAGTGCCATTTTAATTCCGTAGGCTACTTCTTGTTCTTTTGGCAAAAATGACAAGGGAGGCTGCGAAACTAATAACCAGTTTGCAGTGACGGTGTAGGTCGGTGCACTCTTGTACAATTTTCACGTGGGAGGAAAGTGGATATTGGAGATCCTGGCGTCAGCTGTGGAAGACGTTTGGATGAAGATGATTAGGGGGGACATGAGTGGAGAGTGAAGGATGAATTTGTTTCAGAAAGACGATGATGGAGGTTGGGGTTGAACTGTTGACAAAACTGTTTATTTAAAGAGCAAAGTACGGGCAACTCTGCGCTTGCAAAACTTTGCTGTATTATGGTATTGGGTGTTTTGCTTTTACATAAACAGTGTGTGGCATCCATTAACGAAATTAATGTTTACGACCGATATACATTATAATATGAACTATTCACCACCAGTAAAGTTATTTTTGTGTGAAATTTTATGGACTAGGGTAGTGATGTTGCTTGGCGTGTGAGGTAGTTCACAAGCATGGCGGGAATCGAACCTACCCCCTACAGATTTTGTTTTGCGAGACATCATTTGACTGATGAGGAATAACAAGAAAACAAGATGTTCAGTTGTTTCAACTTAAGAAAACGTTTGCATCATGTAAATTTAAAAAATCCAAAAAATCTTCGAAAATAGGCCTCTACATAAACCGTTATGTGCTAATTTATTACAGAAGGTTTCCGTAAAGTGGAAAACAGTTTAGATGTTATATTTAACCCGTTAAAAAATGTTCAGTTTGTCAAAGATTATAGCAGAAATCGGGTGAAGCAGCGTCCGAATTACGTAGCCACTGCCGGCATGCAGCTATGGGAAGTCGATTCGGCCATTTCCATATCCATATAGGCGCGTGTGTAATTGCCGGCCAAGGTAATTAAGTAATTCGGGTCGCAGCCTACCTCTATAGCGAAGATCTTTGGTTGTGGAGCACTGACCTCTGTTAAAAAAGGAGTGCCCGATCGCCATCTTTGGTCACCCATGACGCATGCGCAGTAAATTTGAGGGTTTTTTTTTCGGTTGGTTGATATTGTATGCATTTTTTTTCAGAGTAAAGGCGGCATTAACAAAGAGTGTATTTTTTTTACTGGCTTTTTGAAACGGCCTTTCCAGAGTTTGAAACAGCCTTTCCTTGGACTGGCCAACATCCAAAAATGAATAGATTATGAAGGAAAGTGTTGTTTAAAGTCTAAAAAAGCTCAAATGTCGAACGATGTACGAGACGCTTTAGTATGAGATCCACGATGGCGAATGGGTTGCTGCAAGGCGATATTAGCAGCCAGTCCATAGTGTGGAGGTCAGTGGTGATAAGTGAGGCACAGAAAAGGGGATGAAAATCCACATTATCTCTGTGAGATGTGTTTGGGTTAAATCTGTTGTCCTGGCTCTATATGTAAGTTATAATGCGCTTGAAGCATTTGGTGCATTTATGAAACTGAGCAGCTACGGATGTGCTGTACACAATGTGCTGGATGTTTGTACACGTACAGGGTGAACCCCCCCCCCAAAAAAAAATGCAACCCTGAAACATTTGCTTTTTTCAAAAACGTGATCGGTGAATTTCTATGTTTTGGATATCAGATTAAAGCTGTGAGCTTTGTCTTTCAAATACTGAACAAAATTATGAAAACAGTACATTGGGTTGCTGAGAAAATGCCAATTATGTAAAAGAAGTGATTTTTCATCCGTGCCAATGACATTACCACAGTTAAGGGATTTACACTGTACCCATTTGTGCATGAAATGCATGTAGCGCATTGTGTCCTAATCCTTACAAACAAAACGTCACATTTTGACAAGAGTACAAATGAATTTGATGGAAATACCTTTTATTTTCCACCTGAACAGGTACCTTATCATTTATAGTTCTATTTTAAACCTTTTCAGCATCAAAATTTATGTAATTATTAAAGCAATAGCACAAATGAAAGACAATTCCACAGTGGGCTTATAGTAACATGTTTCACTGTTTGAAGCATTTTTTGAACGGATGTAAAATCACCTCTTTTACATAATTGGCATTTTCTCAGCAACCCAATGTGCTGTTTTCATGATTTATTTTCAGTATTGAAAGAAAAAGCTCTCAGCTTTAATCTGATACTCAAAAAATAAACATTCGCACATCACGTTTTTTTAAAAGGCAAACGTTTCAGGTTGCATCTTTTTGGGTCGCCCTGTATGCAAGAGCTGGCGATTTTAACGGTGGGATACGCTGACAAACTCGGGGAATGTAATTATAACCACCTGGGTCCATACATCAAGTCAGCGCACTTGATATAAGTTATAAACAAACTGGGCAAAAGACACACTAGGCTGTGTTCCATAATTTGTTTCTGTTGTCTTAGTTTGCGTCTTTCATTTGACGGCAAATCTTTACTATGTCCCTGGTCAGATTCGACCCGGAATGCGAGTCAATTTTGGTCGATTACACTTTCCTGTGTCAAATTACACTTTCCTGTGTCAAATTATCCAGAAACCTTGGCAAAAGTTGACCTTGAACTGTATAAGGTCAAATATGACCGGGATTTCGGGTCAAATCTTACTCGGGACTTTTAAGAATGCATCAATATCTGTTTGTCATCAAAGCAATTACCACATTTACAATAATTGAATACTTAAATTAAATTCGCCTTTAAACAGAATTCCGAGGTCAAACTGGTTTCAGTCTCCCGTTCTGACAATACAAAATGCTTTTTGGAAAAGTAGTGCTGTGACTCCACTTAAATTTTGATGATTCCTTTTGAAAAATGTTGAAGATGTTTAAAGTTATAGGTGAAATTGTACGAGGGATTAGAGTGGTGTTGAAATGGTACACTGTGGGTTTATCTCATTATTTTTCACCAAGTTGAAGAGAAATACATGTAATTTATTTATTTTTTGCATGGACTGGACTGCAGTCAACAATAAGAAGTTAAAGTAACGATTATGTAATAAAACTGCAAGTAAAAAGTGTTAAACTTGATTGTAAAGTCGATCAGATAAAAATAAAGAATATTAAAAGTAAAGACATCAAAACGAAATCACAAAATATGAAGTTGACGAAACGAGAAAAAAACGTAATTGTTTGTTTCGTGTCTGTGTCCATGGAAGAAAACCAAATCACGAGATCTCGCGGGATTTCTGCGAGAGCGAGCTGAAGGCAGTTCGGCACGCAGGCGCAGCGATGTTTGCACAACTCGGGAAAGGAAAACAAGGGAGGGATTTTCTCCACGATTAGAAAAAAATCCTTTGCTGTTTTCTTAACCAAATGGTGGCTGTTAATGTTTGGAACGAAAATATTTGGGTGCTTAGTGGCCGGACAGAAGTAGCTGCCGGATTAAAACCGGGTTTGTGTTGGCCGTTCATCCCACTTCAGGCAGCAGAACAGTTCGGGAGATTGAGATTACACTAGCGATGTCTGGATATATTTCCAATATTAAAAACCAAATCAAATGCTTTGTCACATTAAAACGCTATCCAAAAACAGCAATGTCTTATACCTGTTTTTATGATAGATAATATACAATGATGGAATTCTTGGCTACGCGAGATTGCAATTTTGCAAACGGATTTATATTCGGTGTTTGTGATGACAGTTGATCTGTCTGCAATCGCCATGTTTATTATTTTCAACTGTGTTTGGGCTCGTGTTACATATCAAGAGGACTCAATCTCCACGAAAATAACTGATGTCTTGTTAAGATTGCAGTGATTTTTTTCCTCATTAAGGCCTACTCCATGGAAGCCAGGCGCCCACACGCTCGAAAGTGAAATCCTTCTTGTACAGCGCTTAGAACAGGAAGCGAGTAGTCTCGATATAGCTCGAGATGCGAGCCAGGCATTTGTGATTATAATTTAATCCCCCTACAGTGGAATTGATGATGGTGCTGATTGTAATCCCGTCAACCAGGAAGTCTGGGGAAGATGTGCCCGCGATCGCCCGTCTCAATTCTCTCTCTCTCCGCACGCGGAAGTCAAAATAAACATCAACGGAAGAACAGTAACCCCCGTACTTCGAGGTCGCATAGGCTATTCGTTGGGAATGTACAATGTACATGTAGGTCGTTTTGTGAAGCATTGGCTCAAAATGAAAAAAATGCAAGATGATGAAAAATTGAATGCTAATTTCCTCTTCTGTTCCGGAGCAGGGGTGAAGTTTTTATTAAAGAATAATGAAAAATCGGGCAAACAAGAAAAGGGGTGCTTTTGAACATGACTTTGTAAAACCTTAGGAAAATATTGAAATAGCTCATCTACTTAATTTGTAAGTATAACAGATTATTTGCATGTTCTTTGTGTTTGAAAATCACAGTCAATATTTGAGGATATAGGAAATAATAATACGTGTGCTTGTGGTTTCGACACCTTACCTTTTTAGTTATTTTGTCAAACTTTTTCATTTTTACAACGAACTTGATATAGACCGTCTGCATACCGACGCTTGTCAGGTTTTTTTGTTATTTATATTCAGTGACAATGAACGCAAAAAAATTACTCATACAAAGCAAAAAGAACAGCACCTCCAAAATATGGGGGCTCACTGGCTTTCAAACAATGATCTAAACATTTATGTTTCGAAATGAAAATTATAGTGGAGAAAGTAGAAAGTCACGGATAACATATAGTAACATAAGGGGGTTAGAACCAGCAGGCAACTCTACCAACAATTTTAAGTACAGTCTCCGTCAATTTGCGATTTTTTTTTTAAACATCCGACAAACAACGCCTCAAATGGTTGCGTGTTGAAATCTCACCTAAAATAATACGATGGATGATGAATGGGGAGCAATTTGATCCGAGAGTGTAATCGATCAGTCACAACTCGCCGTTATTTTCTCTTCATATTCCGCCGTGTGTAGCTACAATCCAGACACCATTTTGAATCCGAAGGGTAGCTGTTTGGGTTACCCATAAGACTTTCATATTCTGCCTCAAGTAAATGGGCCAAAAATCCGTCCGCCGAGCTCATGAATTATAATACATTCAAATTATTCTATATTAGATAGTATTGAGAGCCATGGACTCAGTACCTCTGCGCTGGACTTGGGGCTTCCAATATAGCTCAAATACAGACGCCATTTTGAATCCGACGGCTGTTTGAGTTACCCACAAGATGTTCATATTCTGCCCTATGTAGCTACAATCCAGAAGACAGTTTGAATCCGACGGCTGTTTGAGTCACCCACAAGATTTTCCTTCCTATGCATGTTATCGTCATTAACGATGATTTGCAAAGATGTTTTCCTGATTAACAAAGTACCTCCGTGTTTATTATGATTTAATTCTTGTCAACCTTTTACATGGGATTTTTGACTTGTTTATTTTGGCAAACGCAAGCCAGACGACTAAAGAAGATGACCGTAGTCGCATTAGGCATGAGAGGAAAATAATGTCTCGCTGATTGCCCTGACTTGTGACTCATTCATTTAATTAACCGGGCCTTTGTGCATCAATGCCCTGAATGCTATGGTTTGACTGACGGCTCAACTATAAGTGTATTAGCTCGGTGACTGTCATTCGCTATCACAGTGGTTGATGCTGCAGTGGAGGTATGCACAGACAGTGGCACCAGATTATTCCTAAATTTACATACATGTACAATATTTTTGAACATGCAAATGATCCCGTGCCAAGGTGAGAGAACAACTAGTGGTGGGAGCGTACTGCTCGACACCATAGGAAACGAGGGTGGTTAATAGGCTATCCGGATTTTTTTACATGGAGATCAGTTGGTGTACGTGGTGCTTCAATACCAAGGAACAACCGTCCAGATGGCCCGCTCGGTTCGAGCACAGAGCTGCTTCGAGCGTCTCAGAAGCAATCGATCGATCAAGGCGAACGTCTCGAGGTCTCTGACGGATTCGTGCCCTCCCAATTACCCCGTCAATTACGCCAGGCCCAATTGAAGGAGCTTGGCAATTTGCTACTCGACGGCTGAGCTGTTCGGTTGCATCGGCCAGCTAGTCTTAAATCGAGAGTGCTGATACACCGCTCTGACGACCCATTTGTATGCAATCCCTGCTTTTATGCTTGGTTATTTCCACCCCCCCCCAAAAAAACCCACAAAACAAAACCAAACAGCAAGCGCAGCAAGCGCAGCAAGCGCAGCAAGCGCAGCAAGCGCAGCAAGCGCAGCAAGCGCAGCAAGCGCAGCAAGCGCAGCAAGCGCAGCAAGCGCAGCAAGCGCAGCAAGCGCAGCAAGCGCAGCAAGCGCAGCAAGCGCAGCAAGCGCAGCAAGCGCAGCAAGCGCAGCAAGCGCAGCAAGCGCAGCAAGCGCAGCAAGCGCAGCAAGCGCAGCAAGCGCAGCAAGCGCAGCAAGCGCAGCAAGCGCAGCAAGCGCAGCAAGCGCAGCAAGCGCAGCAAGCGCAGCAAGCGCAGCAAGCGCAGCAAGCGCAGCAAGCGCAGCAAGCGCAGCAAGCGCAGCAAGCGCAGCAAGCGCAGCAAGCGCAGCAAGCGCAGCAAGCGCAGCAAGCGCAGCAAGCAAGCAGCAAGCGCAGCAAGCGCAGCAAGCGCAGCAAGCGCAGCAAGCGCAGCAAGCGCAGCAAGCGCAGCAAGCGCAG